CCGCGAAGATGTCCCTCGGCGGGGCCGGCGCCGGCTCCGGCGGCCCGCGCGTCTTCGCCCGGATCTGCAAGCTCGCCGGACGCTGCCAGCGGATGCTCCTCCTCCTCGTCGTCGCCGTCGCCGTGGCCTTCTGCTTCCTCTTCTCATCTCTTGTCAGTAAAGGTGGTGGTTGCCTTGCCTCGTGTTCTAGTTCGAATCCATGATGCTGTTTCAGTCACTAGACTAGATTAGACAATACTCCTATTGCGAGCAGTTATTGCTGTTTTATTTTCCTGTCGTGCAATTGTGTAGCCAGTAAGTTCAGGGAAATGACGCAGTGCAACTTGCAAGTGATGTTATTCTATAATCCACGTTAACGTATCTCTGTACCTTATGCACATTTCATGTTTATTTAGACATGTGTTTTCGGATCTTAGCGTGTGTTAATGCGCATTCTTTACCCGGCATCAACTTTGACTTTAGCTGACTGATATGATGCAAAGGCGGTAGTATATTATTATACTCTTGCAGTCCAGGCCACTCCGATCAGTCTCAATGTCTGGGTGATTTGCATCGAGAGATTAAACAATAATGTTGGGTGTGTGATCTGAAGTTTTGAATTCTATGGTTGTGACTGCGGATCAGCCAGTTTTCTGGAACTGAAGTACATACTTGTTGAGAGATATAGTGTTTGATCTAGCTAATGTGGCTTAGGCATTTCTACAAATTTATACCTGGTGATGATGCTATCAAGGTTTGTGGTGCCAGTTTTGTAGATGGGCTCATATTGTAACAGCTGTTTGTTTAAAATCATTATAGGTAAACTGCACATTTGTGTTTGTGCCTGATCCTTTCTTTTCAGTATGCACCTCGTTTGGCTTCTGCTGACCATTTTAATTTGACATTTAATAATTCACTAGAATATTTGGTCCATTTTGTCAAGAAGCCAATTTCCATACTTTTTCATTGTTACCAACTTACAATTTACAAATTACAATGACAAAAAGTTGGTTTGTTTCTTCTGAATCTAATTTAAGACTTGGGGTCTTATTCCCCTCCTGAAGCAGTGGGAAGCTAAAGGTTTCCAAACCTATATCAAGGTCCTAATGGACAAAATATTCTATGTGATGCCAAGTTAAGGTCTGACAAATTTTAGGGGATGGCTTTCTACTTATAGATGCACGCGATCTTCTTGCTCCAGTTTTTCATTAGGTTTGCAAATTTATTGAGAAAATAAGAAAAGAGTTTCACTGGCATTTGGTGTAATTGAATGTTTTTCTAGCAATATGCCAAACAAGAAATCTATCTCCTACTACAGCTAATGCCATTAACATATTTCTGAGCTTGCAGCTGCAGTTAGAACACATTTTTCACATGCATCTGTCCATGTTAGTGATTCAACTGGATTTCTGTTTGCGAAACCCAATGTTGTGTGCTAAACTTTATTAGTTTGAATAATAACTGGACTGAAAAATCTGTTGTAAAAAATTCCATACTTAAGTAAGATGTAACATTCAGTTGTAAGTATATGTTTTCTTGTCCTTTTTTTCACCATAGTATATGTGTTCCAATATTGACCTACTATTTCTTTTTCTGTTTTAGATGAATATGCATCACCTGGTGTTGAGACTATGCTTGTGTTTTCTGATCATGTCCGGAGCTTTGTGAACCCTGTTTGGACATCGTCGAGCAGACCAGTAGCTCAGAGAGGTTCGCTGACTGTGAATGGTTTGAATATAGCATCGCAGATGGAAAAACAATCTGATAGCAAACAACAAGTTCAGGAACTCATACGGAGTTTTCCACCAGCTGTTGTTATGGATCACCATCCTTGTGAAAATTTCTCATTGTCTCCTCCACCTATTGATAGGAAACGCACTGGACCACGACGTAAGTGTACATTCCTGACTATTCCAATTCAGTGCTAGTTTAGTTCTGAATCAAAACTAATGTATTTTAATCTTGTATAGCCTGTCCAGTTTGTTATTTGCCAGTTGAGCAAGCTCTGGCACTGAGACCAGCTAAACCATCATTGTCACCAGTCCTTCAAAGATTAAATTATATGTTTGAAGAGAATTTGATTCCCAAAGAGTCAAAGAGTGGTTCTTTGTTTGGAGGGTTTCCATCCCTGGAGGAACGAGATAAGTCTTATGACATAAAAGACTCGATGACTGTACATTGTGGGTATGCCCATACATTTCATATGCTTTATCTTGAGATCATGTAATGGCTGTTTACAATGATCAGTATCTCTTTTGCTGTAGCTAACCTACTGTTTGTCTCCAGATTTATAAGAGGGAAGATACCTGGTCTTAATACTGGGTTTGACATAGATGAAGCTGATCATTCTGAGATGCAGCTGTGCCAGAGGACTGTTGTTGCCTCCGCTATTTTTGGTAACTACTGCTTTGGATTTCAGTCCTCGTTACAAATTGCTTGTACACTTGCTTACAAATACTGTGGACACTTGCTTACAAATTTCGCAGGTAATTATGATGTAATGCAACAACCAGAAAATATCAGCAAATTTTCAAAAGATACAGTTTGCTTCTTTATGTTTCTGGATGAAGAAACAGAAGCTGCAATAAAGAACTCCACTACTCTTGGTCATACCAAAAGAATTGGGCTGTGGCGGATAGTTGTTGTCCGCAACCTACCATTTACAGATGCTAGGCGCAATGGAAAGGTACCTGTGCAGTTGGCGATTTTGATTTTTCTCAGCCAAACCTGTGTTTTTCGCAATCTACCATGTTGTTTTTTGTTTTTCTCCATGAAGTGAATAGGGAATACTGGACTCCATATTATCCTTGTTATCCCATTCTGAATGTTTGCTTGACTTGACATTTGTTAATGCAAATCAGAATCAACAAGTTTATTGGGTTTGGTTTTATCATTTATGGCCCCTGTCATCTTTTCCTCCTACAGGTTCCAAAGCTCTTACTTCATCGGCTTTTTCCTAATGTGCGATATTCAATTTGGATTGATGGGAAACTTAAGCTAGTGAGGGATCCTTATCAGGTATTAGAAAGGTAAACCGTCACTTGTTTTACACTATGTATTCTTCGCATAGCTCAGGGAACAATCAGATATGCTGTTAGAAATTAAGTTCTCTAGTTTCCAGTGCGACTAATGCTCCATTTGCTCTATCAGTTTTGTCCCGTTTTGTTTTGATTTGTGTAACTACACTTATGTTACAGGTTCTTGTGGAGGAAGAATGTTAGCTTTGCTATTTCCAGGCATTACAGACGCTTCGATGTTTTTGAGGAAGCTGAGGCCAACAAGGCTGGTAGAAAATATGATAACACATCAATTGACTACCAGATAGAGTTCTACAAAAGAGAGGGTCTAACCCATTATTCATCAGCCAAGCTTCCTATAACGAGTGGTAGTTACTTCTCCCCCCTGATCCCTGACCTATTAATATTTCTAACACTGTATACCTGCCTGATATCAGTATACTCTGATTAACAGACGTCCCGGAGGGCTGTGTGATAATTAGGGAACATATCCCCATAACAAACTTGTTTACATGCCTTTGGTTCAATGAAGTTGACCGCTTCACGTCCAGAGATCAGCTAAGCTTCAGCACAGTTAGGGATAAAATAAAGTCACGTGTTAATTGGATTGCAGACATGTTCCTGGATTGTGAAAGGCGTGATTTCGTTGTTCAGGTATTTTCAGTTTTTTTGTTTGATTTATTGACACTGATTTCCTGTGCGCTGTTTTGTTGTGATATACATTGCTGTAGATCATAGAACTAGGATTTTGCTTTAGGGAAAACAGCACATTCTTTGTGATGGCACGTTTATTCCAGAACGACTAACCTTCTATTCTTTTTGTCTATTATTGATTACTTCTTTTTTTCTTGCACCATTCTTACTTTACAGTCGTACCACCGAGAACTGTTGGAACAGAGGCAGGCTACCTTACGAAGTTGGCCTCCCCAGCGGCCTCCCATTGTGCGCATCCAACCTAGAAAGATGCTTCCAGACAATGCAGCAAAGGAACCATGGAGGGCTTCTGCAACCAGGAAGTTATCAGGGAAGCGAGCACGGGATAAGAAATCAAGCTCGAGACGAACTCATCGAACTAATGGGAAGGAAACAATTCAACTGTAAATCCTGGCAATTTTGCTCCTATACAACATCTAACGGACAGCATTCCAACATTGTTTTACTTAACTTCCTTTCATGCTCCCCTCCCCAAAGGCGCCAAAATTTTGTCAGGGATTGTGGATAGAGCTGAAATTCTTTGTTGTAAATAAACATTTTTAGATCAGAGATGGATTCAACTAGCAGCTGATTCCATTAATCAATTCAATTCATTTTGGAGGTAGTCTTTGGCAGGGTTTCAAGTACAGTCAATGTTGTCAGATAATGCCAATGCCATTGATGCCTGAGGGAGTGAAGGGGGGTAGGATGGCGTGGAAGTTACCGCATGCTCTTAATTCAGGAGAGGAGAAGAGGCGGCTGCACGAGCTCGAGCTGCTCACGGCGATGGCCGATTTATGGGGAAGAGTTGGACTGGCCGGAGTTAGGAGAAGAAATGGTGGGCCTCAGCTGTGAGTGAGAGAGGGAGCGAAGTGCCGGCGTGGGCTGGCTGTTGTCAATTGTCATTTGCAGTTTCACGCTATCATTGATCACAAACGCATTATATCATGCTTCTTAAAACTGGACTTCAGGAATTGTCAACAGCTTTTATACATTAAAAAGGATAATCATATAGGGATACAATACGTCGCAGATTGAATAATTTTTTCAATAACAATACAACAACACTGGTGTAATTTGTACACAAGATTTTTTTTAAACATAACTATCCAAAGCAGCGTTAATGATCCTCGCGCATCAACTCTGGTTCACGGTGCTTTGCTCGCATGTCCTGGAATGCTTAGGCGCTGTTGATCCTTCATTGTTCAATTCTGCTACACTTGCGTACGTCCTCATTCTTGATCCGAATTGTGTCGCCTCACTCTCCATGCTCCAAAAGGCCGCCTTCTTGCACAGGGCTTCTTTCGTCGATCACCGGACCACCACAGCACGCTCGTGCAACACGCCACGTCGATCTTCTTCAGCCTTGTCAAAGACGACGGACGGCACGATCCCTACCCACACTCCCGGACAATGGTAGGCCTGGCGGCAGAGGGTGTGCGCCACCTGATTTCCCTCTCGATACACGTGCTTGACGTCGCACCCGGAGAAGCAGCGAAGCAGCCCGTGGATCTCCTCCTGCAACGCCATGGGGATTCGTGTCTGCGTCTCCTCGTCACGGAGCAGCTGAACCAGCACGAGATCATCTCCCTCGACCACGAGCCGCTGCAGGTAGAGCCCAAGCGCCAGGCGGAGACCGCGGATCATCGCGCGCGCCTCGACGATGCCAACCGTGGAGTGTTCTGTCGGCTCGGCGAACGCGAGCACGATGCGGCCGGCGCTGTCGCGGATGGCGCCACCGACGCTCGCTCGCGCTGAGCCGTCGTGGTAAACAGATCCGTCGAAATTTAACTTGAACCAACCACGAGGCGGCGGTGACCACTGCACCAAAACCACACGGCCTGACTGGTACGGCCGCGCGGACGGGAACAGCTGCGGTGGACGCTGGCGTAGACACGGGATGGGCGGCGTAGCCGTAACCAGAGAACAGGCCATGTCGCGTGGGAGTGGGATGTCTACGACTACGACTCGGGAAGGATGGCTCGCTCTTGTCTCTTGTGAGATGCCATGTCCAAGCTTTATAGAGAGACCTACGCTTCTCAATCCGAGCAGTCCGACTCCGAGCAGGTACTTCTAATTCGACTAGGATTCGATGGAAATCGATGCCGTGCCGCGGCCCTGCCCACCGCCTCTCCACCGAATCCCCGAGGTCGCCCATGTTGGAATGATCTCCCAGCCAATAAGCCCAACAACCTATTGAGCCTTGATCACGCGCCTAATCGGGGGCGTCCAACCCTATATGGTTGGTGGCCCCGTCGCACTGCGCTATATAAACTGGTGAGGGCCGATGGCTCATAGTACGAGGTTCACCGTGAGCCACTCCGCCCCACCAATAAACCCTAAATCCGATCTCAACAGGGTGCGCAGCCAGCGACGGGAAGCCGCCACCGTCATCATCGTCGGCCTCACTGCATCGCCACTGCATCGCCAGACTTCACCAACTCTTCTCCGACCATCGCTGCCCGTGCGCAGAGCTTCACCGACCGAACGAGATGGCCGGATCCTCCTCGACGGCGCCCTCCGATGGTCTATACACTCCCATCCACTCTCCTCTCTCTATCACTATGTAGTACTGTTCATTAGGATTACTACTTGTTCATCCCAAATACAAAGAACCACCCGACTAGATGCTACTCTAGGTGATCTTTGGGTTTAACAGCCCACACCGACACCGCCACGGAGGTGCAAGAGCCCCGAGGTGGAGCCCCTCGACGCGGCCGGTCGGCCGCCACCCGGAGGTTCCATTGGGCGCTCAGCCACATGGGGTCGGAAAAAAAAAACTTGCAGGCGAAACCGCAACATGAGGCCCATACAAATAGTAGCCACATCAGAGAGGGCGCCGTCGGGAATCGCGTGGCACTAGAGCGGGAGCACCAGATGAGATGGCTCGAGAATGGCCGTTACCTCGCCGTCGTCGTCAGTCTAGCCCGGAGGCCTGCTTCGTCCATGGGCTCACACTCGTCTTCGCGTAGAGAAAGCATGGCCACGGCACCGATCAAGTTGCTCGAGTTGGCGGCCGCTGCCGGGCACAAGGTAGCGGCCTACGTGTGCTCGGTGTCCAGGGACAAGGAGTCCCACGACGACGCCGAGCAGTACATCAGGCGTGCCGGTCGAGGGTGAGGGCGAGGTGGCACCCCCACACTAACCGAGAGAGTGCATGAGGTGCGCCGAGAGCAAGCTGTCGACGTGGTCGAGAAGGTGACATAGAAGGTGGCCGGAATGATGGGCCCGGTAGTACCGGCGGTACCGCCAGAGGACGACGACCAAAGTTACAACGGCAACGACTGCAGCTTGTTGTGGGAAGGATGGAGCTGTCAGGTTGATCTCCATCAGTTGGTCCAACGGCCAATTGGGTCCTTGATTCATGCCATGATCGGGGGCGCTCAGCCGTTCTCCTAGCTGATGGGCCCCCGTCGCGCAGCGCTATAAGGAGGAAGGTGGGGGCTGGGGCGCAAGGCACGAGGTTCGCTGCTGCCGCCAGTTCCCCACCAAGTCTAACCCTAGACCGATTGAGAGGGTGTGCTGTGAGCGACAGGAAGCGCCATCGCCTTCACCGCCGCCACTGGACCGCGCCTCCACGTCGCTGCTACGTCGTCGTCGGGGCCATGGCCGCGACCGCCTCTCGATGAGGTACTTAACAAGGTATTGTCTAAGTCAAGTTCTACCTGCTAGATCTGCACCTAGAGTTTCTATCAATTCTATCAATGGCATCAAGAGCCAGGTTAGGTTTAGATCTAGGTCGGGGCAGAATCAATCAGAAGGAGATGAACCAGTAGAGTTTAACCCTTACCCTAGAAGAAGAGAAAGGATTGGAAGGGGGTTTTCCTACTGTAACACCCTCGGTGTTGGTGTTACACCGTAAATCATTTACTAAAATATGTCATGAGCATCATATTTATGTGTTAATGCATGTGATAAAGTGTGTAGATCAATTTCTGTAACTCGAAACGATCAACTAGAATGCGAAATGAAAGTTGATTCGATAGTCATGTTATGTCACTTAGGATTTAAAACCAATTTTTATTAAGCAAAAATGCTATGGAACATGTATGTGATACTTAATTAAAGTTTGAAGTACAAACTTTATAGATGACAATGAAATACCCGCGGTCAAAAAATGATATTACTAGCTAATATTTCCACTAGCTTAGAAATAGCAAATGGAAATCAAATTCAGCTCTAAAACTTAGAAATTTTTAAGTCTGCCAACAGCTAGACATTGCTATGTTTAGCAATTTATTGTAAGAGATTGGGTTAAGGAGTGGTGTAGTGTTATGATTCGATTTGGTAGTTCCATATGCCATCTTTAATGTGGTGAAGATAATTTAAGTCCAGAAGCACCCGTTTGGTCATGTTGAGCGCTTTAAAATTCGTGCGCGTGTTCTGGTCTCGAGTTGGTTGGCGCCGGGTGCGCGGCCTCCCCACGCCGCCCACACGATCGCATCCCGCGCGGTCAACTATGCTGCCGTGCTTGGCCTGTCGAGCCGCCTGGGCTTGGTCGAGGCCGGCCGTAGTGAGCCATTGGCCCCGCGCCCTGCTACTCCGCCCACGCCGCGGCGGAGTCACTGCTGTTGCCGCCTGCCCCGTCCTGCGCTGCCACTACCATCGCGTCCGCCACTGTTGCCTCACGTCGCGACGCTGTTGCTACCGTCGTGTCGCTCTCATACGCGCGTCTGCTTGCTGCACCACGCTGCCCCTCCCTAGCCCGGTTGGGTGCCGTCCGCACGTGGCCATGCACGCCGCCGTCGCTTTGTCAATTATGACACTGCGGACACGCACACGCGTTGTCCGTAGCACCAGCGCATGGGCCTCCTGATCTCACCGCTCGTGTCCCGACCAAGGCAAGGACAAGCCGAGCCCACCTACCACGCCATCTCTCTCTTTCCCTCTTCTCCCTCTATTTTTGGCCGCCATCGCGTTGCGTCATGGTGAAGCCAGAGAGCGCGCACCTCTCATCAATTCCTCATGCTCGCGTCTCCGCCTTCATGTCCCCTCTCCAGCTGACCCCACCCCGCCTTGACTCGCGTCACGCCGAGCTCCAATTTTGGAGCTTTGCCCGCCGCCGTGCCGTTAAGGCCCGTCACCGCCCGCGCCGTGGCTAGCCTCCACCACTTCATCCCATGCCAATCCCTCTACACCACTAGCTCGCCTTGGCTCCCTCTTCGTCATGCACATGCTAGTCGCATCTCTAGTGCCACCTCCTCGCCGCTGACATGGCCGTGACTTTGCGGTCCGCCGTTCACCTCGCAGCGCGCACATGGCCAGCCTCGCTCGGGTCGTCTCCGGCTGAGCCGGCTTCTCGGTAAGGTTATTGGTGAGTTGTCATTGTTCACCCGCTACCCCTACCGCCTTGTTGTTGTTGCGCTCACCAGAACGCCGTCGACATTGCCGCATGGTGCCCGCCATCATGGAGAGGTCCTTCTATGGCGTCTCGGCTCGTGCAACCGCCGCCCATCGTCTCGCGTCAAACCCTAGGTGAGCGTCGGCCTCGTAGATAGGTCAGAGTGGGTCCCGTGTGGCCGACGCAAGCGCTAGTGCCACCGCTCGCCGCACCGAAGCGCGTGGGGAGGGCCGGGGGCCTTGCCATTGTAAAGAGGAGAAAATTCTGAGGGTTCCATTGCAAAGTTGTTGTCTATAGAAATAGTACGTGTAGTGTTCTCATGATTTTCGTAACGCAAGGGTGTTTCTGCAAGAGTGCCAGCGCGCGGGCTTCCTCGCCGTGGGTCGCCTCCGCGCGTGGGCCACCTATCGTTACTCGTAATAGGTGATTATTATTATCACTCTCATAATAAAATGGTGAAAGAAAAAATGGAGACCGGGCAGGGATATGGTACGGGTATTGGTGGGTGTAATAGGTTGTGTCCCACGGCTAATGGGGAATAGCTTAGTTACATGGTTTTTCCTGTCCGTGTCGGTTAAGGACCGGTCGTTGCATTAGATTATAGTCAGGTTACAGACTTATTATTCTGAGCACATACTTGCTTATAGGAGCGGGAAGGCTCGTTGCTCTCTTGTTGTGGGTTCCATCTCTTTCTAGATCGACTGATTGGAGACGGGGATGGTGGAGGTCTAAGCACCACACTGAGTCTAGGACTCAGGTGTGGGGGATTGGAGTCCAAGTTTGGACGGGGACCTAGACCCCTTGACAGGAGAGTGGTGGGTTGGTCCTGCTTGTGCTTGGGATACAAGCGGGGCGTGTGTTTCGGGTACCCAGCTGGGCTACATTGATTCGCTAATCGCCATGTAATATAGTATGACTTGTCTACGATCTAGCACCGTAGTAAGAATTGGAAGATGAAAGATGGTGAAATGGATCTAATTGCTCAACTCTTGCTTGAAAGTAGAACAGGTGCTTACATAGAATGGTTAGCTAATGAACTAATCATGACTGCTAATAAAACACATACATAAGGATTCACTCCTAGTATTGCTTTTTGCAAAATGGAAACCCAACAAACCATAAAGCTTATCATATCCTTTGCGAGTCGGGAAATTATTCCCACTAGTCGGGTAAGTCTTGCGAGTACATTGTGTACTCAGGGTTTATTTACCCTCGTTGTAGGTGCAGCTTTAGGAGTAGCTGTTGAGTGGAGGATTATTCTGGTGGGCATAGACGGATCCTTGTATCTTATCTCTAGATGTTTATTTTAATTCCGCTGTTTAGATTCCGCACTCTGAGCTTGGTATTGTAATAATGTATTTCTAAGAATTCTTGATGTATGAAATGGACTAAGTATTGTAAACTCGTTCTCATTATTAGATCCTAGAGGAAAACATGGATTGTTCGAGTTCTCCCTTAGGGTGTGCTCGACGGAACCGTCCGATATAGATTGCTTTTGGGCTGCTTAGTGTCTGGTGGAAGACGAGCGCCTCCGAAGGTGTGTTATTTCGGACGGTTCTACCACAGGTGGTACCAGAGCCAATAATGAGTCTAC